CCTCAGACCAAGTCCACGGGCCCCCTCAGCCACCTCCTTCGCTCCTGTTCCCTTCCCACGTTGGTCCACCTACTCTCTCCATCACTACGTGTTTGACTTTCTGCTTTCTATCTCAGGCTCACTGCTCTTTCCATTAAAAATAAAGATTTTAAAAATCTGCCTGTGTTCCACTACCATCAGTCCAGCTAACAAAATAACTATGTATGACTGAGGCACGGGCGCAGGGGGTGATAGATATTCTCACTCCAGCTAACACTTGGTCCTTAAACCTGAGAAGCAGTGCTGGAGATTCTGGAAGATCTCCCACCAAAAGCCATGCCCATGAATAATCCAGATCTCTTAGCATTGGGGGGTCACTTTCCATCATCTATAGATAGGCCAGTGTGACCCCAAAGGTCACTGCCTACCTAGACTCCATGTCTCCTGATATTGGGGTATCATCTTTGCTGTGTGTAGCAATATAAGCCTGGAAATGCTGGGTGCCGCTATGATGTGACAACACAGAAGTTGAAGATTTCAGTAGGAAACTGGCAACTGAAATGAAAGCAGCAGAACAGATCACTCAGGTCAAACGTTCTCTAGTCTGAAATGGGTATCTGTATATTTGTTGCATGTTCAGTCTGTGGACTACTATCTAAGATGTGATTTAAAGTGGATCGTGAAACCAAGAGCAATATTTGATTCTCTTTTCTTCCTATGTTAATTTACATTACCGATGTAAATGTCAAACTCACCTAATAAAAGTGATTAAAACCAATGTTTACAATTATGTCCTATCCAGCCACTAATTTCACTCAGTTATAAGTCCAAAGTCAAAACAAACATCAGTTAGTCTGTTAAACAACAGGCCTTTAATATTATAATAAAAATCCAGGTGATTTCACATAAAAAAATAAAACATTATAAATCAATATTTCACATAGAGCAAAAAAAATTTAATGTTGTTTATAAAGATGGTTATGACAATGATTTTTACCTTATAAATGGCTTACTAAAAGGTAAAGTGAGAATCTCATTGTCAGGCTGCCTTTGCAGAAAAATAATTCAACTCTGAAAATTAGACTTAAAAATAGATAAAGAGGCAGGCTATAAAAGATCGATCTTGCATGGACAATGTGCAACCTAACTGCATAAGAAAAGGTTTTAGCATCTCTATTTGTTGGAGAGAATTGTTCAGCACAAAAGAAACAAATGATTGCATTTACAAGCTTTGCAGAGTACATAATATAAAAATAAACAAAAAATTTTAAAGTCTTTATTTTTCTCTCCAAATTGCATGTTATGTAACCCAAATTCTGTGTTTTCAAACTGGTTAATGCTTATGAAGAGTTCCTGAAAGTAAGACAAAAAGCTCCAAGTACCACATGTATGACAATGCCTGATACCGGCAGATTATTATTATATTTTTTTGGTCAGTGACTATTAAATAAAAGTAAGCAGCAGCATGCATTTTAAAATAAGGTGGAAGACATATGAATATGAAAATGTATACTTTTCATAAAGTATTGAGATGATAATTTGTTCTCAGAGAAGGAAAGAGATGATGCAATGGTTTATGTTAGAACCTAACCTCCAAGTCTCTGACCATCTGGCCCATGTATCCTAAGTAAACAAAGTTACTAGGATCTCCAAATGCTTCTTGGAAACATAGAAACGCATGTTCCTTAAACATCCCACATCTAAAATATCTTATTTTAAGGGTTACTTGAAGTAAAATAATGTCATATTCAAGAAAAACATTCAAGTCAAAGTCAAGCATGTATACGTGTGTAGTTTTATAACTTACAATGTCATGGGTTTTAAATATTGCCATCCACTATGAAGAATTTTGCATTTTTGCTGGATTCATGTTATGGTCATACACATTATAGAGTGCTACTGAGAAATACAAATAAAAGTGACTATCGTTTAACTTTTAATGTATTTAATCTGCACTTGATTTATGTAACGTGGAAATGAAAATGCTACAGCGTAATGGCATGGACAATGATTCTGGCTCTTTATTTCCTAGCATTATTCAAGATACATGTGCCTGTTTCCACTCTTTTAAAGAAAATAACACACTTGTTTCTGAGGATGTTAAACTACTTGGATGAAAATGATCTATTACTACTAAATGCTCCCACATAAAGTTTACAATACTATTACTCTGGAACATTGGACTGCTAAGAGCATGCAACTCCTACCAGACTCCCACAATTCTATCAGGTCAATAAATATTAAGAACTTTCTTCGCACAATAGGTCAAAACTATTTAAAAAATTAATCAAAATTAAACCTAATCAATGTTAATTGGACCCATAAATGGGCATGTTCTTAATAAGCGGAGAAGTGGAACTGAAAGTTAATGATATGTTTAACTTACAAAAGTTAGAAATCATTGCATTAATATTTTAATGATTTTGCATATTAATTAATTCCTCTAAAATATTCATTCTAATAACATGTGACTAATGTGATTAAATGTAATGTTCCTTTTCATTTTATCTGTAACTTTCATAAATATACTTAAAATGATGAAAATTAGGCTTGTGATGAATATATAACTAATCACAATATATTACTAATCACCTAATAGCCTTCTTAAAATATCAACAACTATATGGAATGTTTTCTTGAATCAAGTCCCTTATGAGAGTCATTTTTACATTATTAATATGTTTAAAATATGGAAAAGTACTTAGAAAGAATTTCTGACACATCTTCAAAGCCTACAAGTAGCATCTTAAGACCGGTAATAAAGTTTGTACATTTGTTCATGGTAGCACACCAAAAACAAATTTGGTCTGCTTTTGCAGAATCATAAAAAGTTTTATATTAAATTAAGGACCTAAGAAATCAATTTATAAGTGATTAACCAAGAACATAGGAACATTAATTATGATACTCTAATTTTTGAAGTTATTGAGTTTCAATTGACAAGTCCTACAACCAAGAAAGAACTGCATAAATCAAAAATAAAATTGTGTTATGGTGAAAATAAAATCAAAATATGTGCTTAATGTTTAATGTGAAGAATAAATGTTTGTAAAAGGGAGTAAGGTATTTTATAGGATGCTTTGTGCATACAATGAATAACTACTTCTTCTACAGAAACATAACCCAGAAGTAGCCCAAATAGAATAAACCAGTTTAACCTCCAGTACAACTACTTCAATGGTGACATAAAGTTGAGAAGTAATTCAGATAAAGAAGCAGACAAATATTGATTATGTTTAAAATTTTTACTTCTGAACATAAACGTATGACAGACATGTTTGAAATGTGCTGCAGTCTGTGACGAGGCAGACCTTGTCTACCTCTTTTATTTTTTTCTACCTCTTTTAAATATAGAACGTCTAAAAACTGGAATCACTAGAAATGTCTATGAGACAATAGACTCAGTGAAGCAGGTAGCTTTAAAGTATTATAAGAAATCGAATTGGTCATAAATACATGGGAAATATTGTGACATTTGTATTAGTAGCAGAATTAGCAGAACACCAGTTTCCTTATCAGTATGATTCTGATACGATGAATTTGTCAAGATAGGTAATTATGCAATAAATATAACAGTCATTCTTTATTCTATCATTAATAGTAAGTTCAGTGTTACAGCCTGGTTTATGGTAGTATGCTTAAGGGAAAATTGGGTGGGAGATTTCAAGATATAGTCATCCAGTCAAGGAACATTGTAAATTTTGCTGTAAACTCAATATTCTCCAATGTTATGTATGTAAAGAAGATCGGCTTCTAGTCTTAACACTGACAAAAAAAAAACGGTTGGAGTTTAGCTTAACTGTCAGAAACACAACCAACCAGCCCAAAGTAAACTTCAGCTCCTGGTTGCATTCATTTTAAATAGCTGCCTCTTTGCCTAGTTTCCTTACAAAAGCACTCGGATGCCCTTTGATCCTTGCAGCCCTTGATGACACTAGCCTAGTACAGAGCAAGTGAGAGAGAAGAGGTTCAGTTCTTCCCTCCTGGTGAAGGATGGGGCGAGAGCGAAGAGAAAAGGAGCTTGATGTAGTTCTTTTGAAAAGCAATACTGTTTTATTGTATTGCTGAAGAAGTTATGGGGTGGGACATTACGGAGTACTGAGACTGTCGTATTTCTTCCCTACTAAAAGGTCACTGCAGAGGCTTTATTTTCAACCCTCAGGACACATCCCCCTTCAGCACCACGGACAGCGGTGTCTCCACTGGGACAAGGCCCCCTGGGTTAGTTGGTCCTTAAAGTTAGAAACTTGCCTCTCAGACAGACTAGAGCCGCGATTACACTCACTAGAACACTAGTCATTGGAGAGGTGGATGCATATTTGCTGATAGCCTCAACACTTTGCCATCCAGTACCGAAGGGACTCCTGAACAGGCAAGCTAATTACATAAGATGCCTGGTAGACAGCCTAACCCTGACCATCACTCACCAGACACTTAACTACAACTCTGGACTTCCAGACGTGTGCCAACGTCCCAGCAAAGGCTGCAAATCCGAGCTAACCAAGTGTGGCTAGGCCACCACACTTCCCACGCCAACAGAGGAACCCGCGACGGGGAAGGCGCGTTTCCAACGTCTGGTTCCCTGGACACTCCCCTTGGCCTGCCCTCTGCTCCGCAGGCCTTCTGATGTGACTGTCACAGTCGGTGTGAGCTCCCGGAGCCAAACCAAGATGCTCCAGCCCGGGACTCTCTCCACTTGACCTGAGGTCAGCAGAACACATTCCACAGATGCCCCCTACCCCCCAACCAGCCGCATACCCGTGCGCCTTTCTAAAAGAAAGCATTTGAAACGCGGGGACTTAAGAGATCAATGAAAACTCTAGTTGCATTGTATCAGAGGTCTGGGCCGGCGACTGTGCCACAGACACCCCCAACTTCACACCAGCGAGTCCCAGCTCGATGCGAGTCCCAAAGCCGAGAAGGGGAGGCGGCGAGGGGAGGGGAGGGCAGGGCAGGGCAGGGCAGGGAGGGCGCGCGGGAAGTTCAGACACCTTAGGGGGGTGGGGGAAGCCGGGTCCTACCTTGCAGTCCTCGGGGCAGGATTTCACCGAGTACTCCTCCGACTGTAAGTACTTGTGCAGCACGCTCTCGAACTCTTCGTACTTCTCCTGAGCGTGGTGGTCGTAGTTTTGGTAAGCCTCGACGCACTGGCGGCAGGTGGTCCTCTCGCCGCCCTCCTTGAGCACCACATCCAGACTGCAGTTCAACGCGCTGGGGCTGGCCAGCCCCGAGAACAACTCCCAGAGTGTGTAGGAATTACAAAAGGAAAGGTAGAAATCCGACAAGTTCCAGAGCGCGCCCGCCGCCGCCGGGGCCAGCCCCCGACTCCAGTTCCGGGCGCACACGGCCTCGGCGCTCTCCACGGTGAAGCACTGGCCCGACGACGCGCCCGGCGGGTAGCACGTCTCCAGGCGCCACAGAGGCCGGCCCGCGGGACCCGGGAGCAGCGCCTGGCTCTGGTTGCCCGTGCCCCGGGGGCCCCGGCCGCCGCCCGGCGACGGGGGCAGCGTGGGGGACGCGGGGGCGGCCAGCGGCCGGGGCGCGGGGGCCCCCATGCCGGCCGGGAGCGCGGGCCACGACGGCTCGGGCTGCCGCGGCCGCTGCTGCGCCTGCTGCTGATGCTGCTGCTGCTGATGCTGCTGCCGCGGGCGCTGCTGCTGCCGCTGCTGCTGCTGCTGCTGCCGCTGGTGCTGATGCTGCTGCTGCTGCTGCTCCTTGTCCCGCGCGCGGCTCGGCTTGGCCTCGGCGCAGAACCACAAGTGATCAGACAGCAGGACGGTGAAAAACAGGAGCGAGGCCAGCGACAGTCGCCATTTCTGCGCCCGCTCCGAGTCGATGAACGGTTTCTCGTTCTCCCGGGGTGCCGCCAGGCAGATCTTCAAGCCGTCGTCATCGTGCCGGCACATCCAAGCACCCCTGGTCATATTTTGCGAGCGCGCAGCCCGGGGCGACCCGACAGGGAGGGCGGCGGCGGGGTCGCGGGCTCCGCGCCGGGCATGGACTCGGGGGTCGGCCCTGCGCGCCCCCGCCCGGCCCCGCGTCCGCGCTGCCCCCTCGGCCCGCGCCGCTGCTCGAGCCTCCCCCGGCGGCCGGCCGGGCGCGCGCGGTGCCCCCTACTCGGCGGCCGACCCCATCGCGGCGGGCGCGAGCGGAACGCGGAGGGCGGGCGACGCGGAGGCCCGGCGGGGCCCGGAGGACGGCGGGGCGGTGCGGGCAGCTCCCCTGCGGCCGTCAGCCGGGCACGGGCCGCGCGCGGCTCCCCATGGCCCCGGCGCCTGCGGCCGCGGGGGCGCTACTGCGCGCGGACGCTGCCTCCCGCCGAGCCCGGGACCCCCCGGCCCGCGCTGCGCCCCCCGAGAGCGGCCACCGGCATCTCCGCGCCGGCTAACTTGCCGCCATCTTCGTCCGGGAGCACTTTTCGCGGGGGTGGGGGCGGCCTTGGCGTCGTCTCCGCCCCGCGCGCCCCGCGTGGCGCATTGGCACCCGGCGCGGCCCGGGCGGGGGAGGAGGACGGGGACGCGCCGCGGGCTGCGGGGACCCGGCTTCGCGCTCCCCTGCGCCGGCCGGTGGCGCCGGGACACCCCCGGGCGCGCACGACCGTGCACACGCACACTAACGGGCGCACACACGCGCGCGCGCGCACACACACCAACGGGCACACACGCGCGCGCGCGCACACACCAATGGGCACACACACACGTGCACACACACGGGGCACACGCGCACACACAAACGGGCACACACACGTGCACACACACAAATGGGCAAACGCGCACACGCACACACAAACTGGCACACCACATGGGCACACGCACACACACAAATGGGCACACACGCGCGCACACACAGCCGCGCACACGCACACACGCAAACACACATGGGCACACGCGCACACACAAACGAGCACACGCACAGGTGCACACACACAAACGGGCAAACACATGCGCACACGAACACATACACGCGCACACGCACACAAACGGGCACACACAGGCGCACACACGCACACCCGCGCGTACACACACACCAACACACAGGCGCGCGAACGCACACACACAAATGGGTACACACACGCGCGTACACGCGCCCACACACACAAACGGGCACACAAACGGGCACACACACAAATGCGCACGCACACAAATGCGCACACACAGAAGCGCACGAACACACACACATACACATACACACACACTACGCCAGACCCGAGTCCGACTGCGCACTGCGTGGCGGGACCACGGGCAGACTGGGGCCTTCCTAATCCCCCTGCTCCTCCCTGGAGACCTGGGATGGGAAGGGCTGGGGTGCGGGGACCCCTGAGAGCCCCATCAGGGCGTCCGCGCCGGGGTCTGCGCGCGTGTCCACCGGGGCACAGCGTCGCGCTCCCGGCGCCCCGTTCCCCTCCCGGTATCGAGAGCCGAGAAGCGGCCGCCCAAACTCGGGGGCCCGCGAGGACCTCGGCTGCCCTGTCCACGCCCCTCAAAGAAACCAAAACTGCACTCTCTGGGGGCTTCGAACCCGGGACCTGGTCCCGAGCTCCGGCGGCGCCGAGTCCGCAGCGGGGGCTCCGGGGACCGCGCCGCAGGCCCGGACTCTGGTGCCCCTTAGCGTCGGTTCCCGGAGTTCCCACGCGAGGGGCCGCGCCCGCTCCGCCACTTCGCCTCGGGCTCTCGGGTCCCCCTCTCTAGCCAGAACCTGGCCGGCCGAGAGGTCCTAGCTGGGCTCCGGAGCCTCCTGGCCCGCCTTCCAGTGCCCCGCCTTCCAGGGGGTCCCCGCTGGAAGGGAAGTTTCCGGAGAAGCCAAGGGCTGCCTTTTAGGCGCCTCCGCGGGCACGGGCATGCATGCAGAGTCGGCTCTTTAGAGAAACTAATAAAAATAACGGCACATAGGAAGACTTGGAGGGGTGGGCTCAGCCCGTCAGTCCCCGCGTGGTCTGGCCAGGTGTTCGTGCGACTCTGCGCGTGCGAAGTCCAGGCTCCCCCACGCTGCGCAGGCATCAAAGTGCCCGCTAGAAAGGCCGCGCAGCTTCTGTGCTCCAGCCTCCACGGTCTAGATTTTTCTGATAACGAGACATCTAGAAAGTAACAGGTACTTTGGTAGCAAGTTTGCCCTAACTTTAACGCTTCTTTTCAACAACAAAACTCAGGTTTTGTTGAAAATTAAACTTGAGAAATGTTTCCTTCTCTTTCTCCTCTATTAGATTGAATATGTAAAGACATCTTGGGGTGGGGACGGGGGCGGGGGGGGCTGAAATTTTTCAAAGCGTTTTTGCTTTGTCTTATGATCACCCCCTTCCTAAAATGCCGGTCCCCTTAAATCCAGTCTAATTTAAATACAGCAGGATGCCTGTATGTAGACATAACTGAATACAGGCATTTTCTCTGGCCTAGCTAAATGCATGCGAAAGGACGTATCAATGTCTGATTGCTCTTTCAATAAGAAATTATTTTTACAGAACACAGAAGTGAACATAACATGTTCACATACAGAACATATCACATTCTAAATCCAAAAATTACTCCCTTTTTGTTCTATTTTAAATCTGCCAGACCGCTATGGTGAAAACGGAAGTAACGCACAATAATGTTGGATCTTTGTTTCTCAGGATTTTTAAAAAGACTTCTAGAAGGATCTTTCAATGTTATTTTTCTCTTTTTCTCTCCTTCCCCTGCTCCCCCTCCCTAGATAAATAGTTTAACACCATCGCCACAGAATTTTATTTCATATTCACTTTCCTTTACTCCATAGCCGAAGTTGAAGATGCTGAGGGCTTCGTGTTTCTCTTTCTCTCTCCTGTGCAAGTTGGAAAGCTCAGAAAATCCATGTCTCAGCCAGCCGTCAGGGGATCTCTGAGCTGGAAACTCATGGAGCAGAACTAGTTTCAGAACAGAGATGGTCTAAGAGAAGCTTCAGGCCACCTGAGTGGGAATATCCACCACAAACCCCTTGGCTACCCCTAAAGGGTAGAAGTGATCCAAGTCTGAGGCAGCTGGACAGAGACCTTTTTCTGAGCACAAACAGTCCAAATACTCCCTAGAGGGTCCGACCTGGCCACCTAGACTCACTTCCTACCACAGGCCACACCTGCTCTCATTCCCAAGATCCACCTCCTCTGTTGGGAAGCAAGAACACTCACATGAGAATACCCTTTCCCAGGAAGAAAATTGCAGGAGTGTTGATGTAATGGAGTGTGTTGTTCTTAAGATACTCCAACATGCATACACACAGACATGCACATATAAACACATGCATATGTAAACCCATGTGCATCTGAAACCATACACAACGTACTAGGAAGTCACTGTCCTCCCACCTTCTGGACCCTCTCCGAGTACCCCCATTTCCTTGCAACTTGAAATTGCGCATTCCCTGAGCCATGTTGTGCTCTGCCATGTGAGCTGCTCTGGGCACGGAAACTCAGCACCAGCTCCTGGGGCTGCGTGTGATAGCTCAGAATCACAGGAACCAGAAGATCCAGGGGTTACCCACCCCAGATGCCGCTCCAGATCCCTTTAGCAACTATGGGGTTTGGCCAGGCTCTGCTCCCAGGGACTGCCCAGTCCTTAGTAAAGGGCTCAGCAATCGCCACAACACTGTCACGTCTGCCCACCCCCCAGTCCTGGCTCATGAAAATATCTCAGAGAATGCCACATGTCCCTGGAGAGCACATGGCTCCTGACTGGGACCCTGCTCTCAGCCTCCATGTCAGCACTGGTCTCCCAATGCAGGAAGCTTCTGGCATTGAGGCTAGCAATGGACCTTTGACTAGGGACAAGATGGATTTGTTAAAAAACCATTCACCTCAGCTCATAACAACATAATAGACATCTTTTTAGTAATTTTTTAAACACTAGAAAGCATTAAAATTTCTTTAACAATCCACGCAATGCAACATTAGGGGAGAATTGATTATTATTAAATCTGATCAATCTTCCCCACAATTCATATGAAAATATAATTGATTACCAGATCGGTTACTAGCTGGTAATCAATGATACAACTGCCTATAATTTATAGATTTAACCTCAATATAGTATAAATCAAACAAGATATGCATTTGTCCATTGATGTAACTATATTATAGAAGTAATATAGTTACATTAAGACAACAAATAAGCAATTCAAGGTGTCCATGGTACCCAAGTGCTAAGACATGGCCACCATTTTCATTTTGTAGTAGTTAACATTTATTTTATCTTATAAATCACCATTCTGTGTCACTTTGCCAATACCAGATTTTTTAAAGTATTAGAGAGTCTGATAGCATTCATAGACACATTTGTTAGATAACAATGCAACTTATCTCTCGGTCTTGTGCTGTTAATTTTGATCAGAGATACACAGATCCTAATATTGTCTCAGAATATTAGCATCTCTCCTTCCCTGAGTATGTGATTAAATCAGAAAGAAGACTGAGAATCAACTTTTTATTTAAATGGACAGTATAGAAAATGAAAAATCCCTTACTCTCAAGGTACAGAAGTAAAGTTGGGCTCCATTATTTTATATTATTTGTATTTGTATTTAAGTCAAATTGTGTCTTACAAAATATGTCTATGATACTTAGTACTTGCCTCACACTGCATTAAATAATAGTATTTTCTCTTCTATTGAGTAATAATTTGTTAATAATCATCTATTATAGATGATTGTTCATTCTTTGTTTTGGTTTGGGTTTTTGAACCACATCAACAATACTCAAGGATTGTTCCTGGCAGTGCTCAGGACCTAGTCCTTCTCCATGTGAGGCATGTGCTCCGTCCCTTTGAGGCATCTCTCTGGCCCAATTCTTTGTTTTTCAGGAATGTGGACCTTGCTTCTTCTAACAATTTTCAGAGATTAGGATGTTCAAAAAGCTGGAGCTATAGCACAGCAGGTAGGGTATTTGCCTTGCACAAGGCTGACCCAGGTTCGATTCCTCTGCCCCTCTCGGAGAGCCCAGCAAGCTATTGAGAGTATCTCGCCCGCTCCGCTCGGCAAAGCCTGACAAGCTACCCATGATGTATTTGATATGCCAAACACAGTAACAACAAATCTCACAATTTGTTGTGAAATGTTACTGGAGCCCACTCAAGCAAA